CACTTTTTTTTTTTTTTTTTGGCCTCTATTAAAGGTCTGGGGAAATCCTTGGCTTATCTTCTCACACTGCCACAGGCCAGTATCTAGAAACCCTAAAGAGTTTGAAACAAACAGACAATGCTATAAAAATTGTCCACATAAAGGTGGTAACCCTTATTGAACAAGGGGATCAGTAAGTCAAAAACAAGTTTCCCGCTTGTCCCCAGAGAGTCAGTATAGCCAGGAGGGTCCAGTTGACCATCTTTCCCCTCATATATACGAAAGGCAAATGTATAGCCACTTTCGCTCTCGCACAGTTTGTAGAATTTTACGCCATACCTAAAGCGCTTTGAGAGGATGTATTGTTTGAATCCTAATCTCCCTTTATATTTCATTAACGATTCATCAATAGATACATTTTTTGAGGAGTATAAACTTCAGTAAATTTGTGCTGAAGATGGTCTACCAGTGGGTGTATTTTATGAAGCCTATCATATTGGGTGTGATCTCTGGGGTGTCAGAGGGTATTGTCATTGAAATGTAAGTATCTCAGCAGCAGCTCAAATCTTGTTCTAGACATGGTTTGAGAGTACACTCGACTAGAACAGATTGGGTTGGTGCTCCAGTAAAAGCAAATTGATGGCTTCTTTATAATCCCCATGAGAATTGTAAGAGCCCAGAATTTTTTAAGTTCAGCGACATCTGTGGGATGCCAAGCACACTCCTCCCTGACTGCATAGCTATCTGGATTGGTATCAATAAATTGGGTAACATATAAATTAGTCTGGGGAGCAATCTCCTCCCACATGGTATCCCCTAAAAATAGCTCCATATATTGCATAGGGGAGAAGTCATCCACATTGACATTAATGCCTGTGTTGGCACTAAAAGGGGTGATTTGGGGCTCAGCTAACTGTGGAGAAACCTGTTCCTCCTCCACATTCGGCGTAGCAGAGAAAGCACAGCTTCTTTTTGCAGCCAGCTCACACACAGATGACATGTCAGAAAACTGACCTGGGTCAAAATCGGACGCAGTGTCAGTGGCGTCAAAGTCTGGCTAACACAGAGTTAAAAAACAGACTAAATGAGACTAAAACTTCTGTTAGCAGCAATCTGTAAACTAACTCCTGCAAAAAGAATCTAACTGGAGATTTGGGGGAAGGATACTGACTAACAGAAATTTGCTGCTTTCAAAATAAACAAAAAATAAATAAATCAGGAACAAGTATTATAAAAATGTATTTTCTGTGTGGTAGACCTTAAAACATGCTCCAATACACAGTCCAGGTTTTGTAGGGCAATCGGGACAGTGAAAAGGGGTGTCTGTCCTTTTCCCTTTTTATAACAGACCCGGCAACGTTTCTGGGGGTTTCTTTTTTTTGGTGTTGGCGGTATCTTAAAAATAAAATGTCTAGACGACTCTTGCACTGTCGTTGGAACTTGACCATCTCCATAAATTATTGTGGAAATCAGCTTGAGCTGAAATTGGAGATAGGTGGTTCTTCCTGGATTAATTTTTTTTAAAAGTAAAAATGAATTATGTGTTGCTACTTGCAACAGGTAGATAGCCACCTTTTTATACCAGGCTTTTGTCTTTCTTAAGATAAGATAAGGCTGCATCAGCTGATCAGCCAAATCAACACCCCCCATGTGCCTGTTATAAGCCCTGATGCACACCGGTTTTGTCTGTACCCTGCCTCGGACAGTGACGTCTGACATGGCCTCGTTATGGATGGTTGTTATCATGTGAACATCCTTCCTGTCCTTAAATTTTAGCGCAAGCAGTTCAGCCTTGCGCAGAGCTTTGCATTCCCCTTTTTTTTAATTTGGCCTCTATGAAAGGTCTGGGAAAATCCTTGGCATTTCTTCTTACAGTGCCGCAGGCCAGTGTCTGTAAACTATAAAGAATTTTAAACAAGTGGACACTGCTGTAAAAATTGTCCACATAAAGGTGGTAACCCTTATTGAACAAAGGGTTCAGTAGGTCCCAAACAAGTTTCCCAGTTGTCCCCAGAGAGTCAGGACAGCCAGGAGGGTTCAGTTGAGCATCTTTCCCCTCGTATACACGGAAGGCAAATGTGTAGCCACTTTCGCTCTCGCAAAGTTTGTATACTTTAATGCCATACCTAGACCGCTTTGAGGGGATATATTGTTTGAACCCTAATCTCCCTTTGTATTTCATAAGGGATTCATCGATGGATAAAGTTTGTTGGGGAGTATAAACTTCAGAAAATCTGTTCTGAAGATAGTCTACCAGTGGGCGTATTTTATAAAGCCTATCATATTCGGGGTGATCTCTGGGGTGACAGAGCGTATTGTCGTTAAAATGTAAGTATCTGAGCAGCAGCTCATATCTTGGTCTAGGCATTGTTTGGGAGAATATAGGAGTCGAACAAATTGGGTTGGTGCTCCAGTAAGACTGGATTGATGGCTTTTTTATTATCCCCATGAGCATGGTAAGAGCCCAGAATGTTTTAAGTTCAGGGACATCTGTGGGATGCCATGCATGCTCCCTGACTGTATAGCTATATGCCTCCTCCAAGCTATACATGCGCTGCATGTTTCACACCAACAGACTAAACTAACAAAATACTAAACACAATATTTTTTTTTTATTTTTTTTAAACAGACTAAAACAGACTAAAACAGACTAAAACAGACTAAAACAGACTAAAACAGACTAAAACAGACTAAAACAGACTAAAACAGACTAAAACAGACTAAAACAGTAATCCCTAAACTAACTCCTGTTAGAAGAATCTAATGGAGATTTGGGGGAAGGAAACTGACTGACTACGGCTGACTACGACTGACTACGACAGTCTAAGACACAGATTTTTTTAAAATAAAGTTAACCCTTAAGGGCAAAAAAAAAATACAGACAGTAAAAATGCACTGTCTGTAACAGATATGGCAGGGAAGGGGTTAAAATAGGATTTTTATTAACTGCAGATACTTTTTAATTTTCACAGGAACAGCTGCTGCAACAAACTATCAGGATCTCTGTCTCTCTCCTCTCACAAAACGCTACAGAGAGGAGAGAGGCAGAGATCAGTGTCAAAGTGAGTGTTTGTAACACCCACTTTGACACCAGCCAATTGTGAGCGATCGCGGATCGCTCACACACCGCAATTGGCTGTTACTATCTGCCTGGGATGCCGGGCAGATAGTAACAACGGGATTTCAGCGGAAGCGATCTCTGATCGCTCCCGCCGCCCGTTTTCCGTTAGGACGGTTCAGGACCGTCCTCGGTCGGCAACGCAAAAATGCCGAGGACGGTCCTGAACCGTCATGCGTCCTTAAGGGGTTAACAGCCACTCACATCACTGTCAGCCAGAGATTGAGGGGAGTTTAGACTAGCCAGAGCTACGGGAGCCCCCCCGCTCTCAAAGCCTTCTGCAAGAATATCGTATTATTATTTAAATAGTGCCAACACATACTGCAGCCGTTTAGAATTTATAAAAGTAAGGTGGGAGAGTGGTAGCACAGTTAGTGTTTTGATGTATGCAGAGATTTCCAATAGAAATCCGTCTCTGCATGCCAGCGGCCGCAGATTAGAAAAGGGATCTAATTATCATGTAGTTATTTTATGTATATAATCTACAGATTATGTATAGAAAATGCGAAACGTGTTTTGTGGAAGTACAGGGTATCCTGTATCAAGCAATAGCTGATCTGTTACAATTGTTGCAAATGAAAGAATAGAAATGTGTACAAGTGCCCTATATGGTGATCGTGCGGCCCATTTAGATACCGTTACACAGAACACAGAGGTGTTTAGGTAAAACAGATTATGTTTAGAGATTTTTTCCATTTCTTTATACATGACCGGTAATATGTACGGTAAATCATGTGAGGAGCTGGGAATCTCCCAGGATATATATTTTATTTTTTTCTCGCAGCCTGATCTGTGTCCGTCATCCCGCCAGGACATTGTGCGCTGTGTGCTGTAAGGTCACCTTGCTCTGTGCACCAGAAGAATACAGAGGAATAAGGCAAGGTCCTCCCAATCAGGTCTGCAGGGAGGTCATTATCAGACTGATTTCTTTCCCTCGGATGTTCTGCGGGTTGTTAAGCCTACTTTCCTGCAATAAATTAAATATATGCAGGGTACTTGTAGTCGCTAAACTTGCCATCTTGTCTCTGTGCAAACTGCAATTCCTATGAAGCACAGGCAGCTGGGAAATATATACTTCCTAGATTGTAAGCACTTTGAGCAAGGCCTTCTTCACCTCTTTTGTCTGTCACTTACTTGCTATAATGTATCCCCACTGTTTGTTGTAAAGCGTGAATGGTCGCACTATATAATATTAATTTATATATATATTTTTTTAAGATTCTGCACATGGATGCTGTGGATTAAAAATTTTTTGTTAGGCCAAAATTGCTTAACAAAAGTTAAATAACTAATGTTTTCAAATTTGACTATTTTGCATTGCAATTCGAAATTCCATTTGCATTCCCAGCAGTTCACAATTTATTGAATAACCCCTGTTGTGAGGGTTAAATAGTGTGTACAGAGAATTGGCAATCAAGCACGATGTATTTATCACATAGGGCTCGGAGCAGGGTTCTTAGAGTGGAAAAATATGAAGGAAAAATACAAAGGGGGTTTTTCACAAAGGTTTGTAACGTGAACTGGTCTTTTTTGAAACTCAGAAATGTTGTTATAAAGTTTTTAAATCCATTTTGAGGCTGTCAATGGGGAGCAAGGTGTGTGCCCACGAGACCCCATCAAAGTGCAGTAAATGTTCCCTAGCCATATGTTATCGGAGTTGTAAGGGTGAAAGGTGACCTGGAAAAAAAGCAGACGATTAGAGAATACAAGGGTAAAAATTATACACTAATGAACAAGTCAATTTTAATTTAAACTAAATTAATGGAGTGAAGCAAAAGAAGTGTCGAAGCCATTAAATAACAACTTAACAAGGAACTCCGATTAGAAAGGGAATGAATAAAAGTTTACATTTAATTCAAAACAAATAATAAGGAAATAAATGGTTCTAAGTGGATGTTTGCGAGACAGTCTGTCCCAGTGTCCCTAATGTACCACCAAGACAAGACAAACACTGAAATAAATTAATTAAGGTATGGGATCGGGTATAATGTAAGAATTGCTTTAAAATGCAGGTTTTAAGGCATTAAATAGCATACTAAGCTACTTCCAGATTTGCAATAATGCTCTTTGCGCTTGCCGTTCACTGTATACTGTGTTCTACGTAATAAAATAATTAGCAAGAAAGGGGCAACTCGTTAGAACTGTAAAGACACAAACTCTGTGCGCCATTAATGGCGGGTCTCTCAGTGGAGATATTGGCAGCTTTGTTTCCAAAAAAAAATATGAAAAGTTATAAAGTGATTTCTGTTTTATTCCACTACTGTTCCTTTAACAGTCTCTCTAGATGGGTTTTCTATATATCGCCTTTTTTACACCTCTTTATAAAAATATACACAAAACTCCATAGATTTAGCTCCGTCCTATTTTGATGTTTTGTCTTTCTTTTCTCTTGACTCAGGGGAGTTGAAGCTCAGCAGATGATGGAACTGGTGCCATGTCTTTGGGTCGGCTCCTTCGTCGTGCGTCCTCCAAAGCTTCCGACCTCCTGACACTAAACTCTGGAGGAGGAACGCAGTCGGTCCTGGATGGGGAAATTATATTCTCTAAAAATAATGTGTGTGTGCACCCTCCAGAACTGCTGCAGGATGTGGGATCCCATCACCCAGGTAATCTTAGATCTCATTAGATATCCAATTTTATAAATGCCAATTTGTTTTTGTCTCTACTGAAGTGGACAACCAAAGTAGTCTTTAACCTGTCTTTCCAGTGCACCCATTTATTTTTGAAGGGTTGGCTACGAAATAAAATAGAATGTTGAGACTTGGCATATGATAAATTGATAATTCTCTTTTTCCTGTAGGTTACATGTGTGTTTATATGGAGAAGGATGAGTCTTTGGGTTCCACTTTGATCCTTGCTTGGGTTCCAAACTCCCGTATCCAACGTCAGGATGAGGAGGCGCTGCGTTACATCACACCGGAAAGTTCTCCTGTCCGCAAAGCACCACGCAAGAGAAATAGACACCTGCCCGGGGCAGTCGCCTCCACACCTAATAAACCAGCAGTTACCTCTAAAGAAGGTCCAGGGGAGAACATAGGAACAAGGGAAGCCCACTCCTCTGCAGAGCAGAATCCCTCCGAGTGCTCTGTGGAGGAAATTGGGGAGCAGTTGGAGGACGAGAAGTCTTTGGACTTATCTTCTGATGAAGTGAGCAAGGACAGTACTTTAGACTCTGATTCGGATCCCTTCTCCTCCCCCTTCTGCCTATCTCCAATAAGTGAGGCTTTGGGCGAGAGCAGCGGGTCTGTGTTCTTGGAAAATGAAAGCCGGTGAGTCTTTCTCTCTTTCATATAAACCCAATATATACCTCGGCATTGTTCATCTTCCTAATTTGAATAATCACTTGTGAAATAAGGCAGCTATTGGTCCGTCAGCCTGGCCGTTTCCGATTTGCTTTTAAATGGACTTCTGTTGAGATGTCAAAATATGTCGGCAAAAGAATTGTGAAAAATATATTCTGTCGAAATTATGATTTACAAAAAAAAATCAAAGTAAAATTACATTGGAAAAATGCAAGCAACTTGCTATTAATTATCATAAAGTGGGATGTATCATTCGATTCTTTAAGAAATGGAAGTTAAATGAGCAGAGACACGTGTGTGTATTTTAATTTCATTGTGTTAAGAAAATGGGGGTAATATGCTGCCTGTATTAATAATTAGTACCACAGGAGGGAGCTGTTGTATACACAAATTCATACCAGAACTCCAATTGCTTTTACAAACTGGCTTGACACTGGGACTGTTCTTTTATTATATTTATTTATTTTTAAAGCAGATCTGTGTAATTATTGAAGGACCTAAATAAAGTGCTTTTTACTGTATTTATCAGTGAATGCACTGTAACAGTGGGTTGGAAGAATACAAATATTGACCATATTCAGAACTTTTTTTTAGGCTGATGTCATAGAAAAACATACAGGAGATTGCAGAGTTTACCGTGCCATTAGTAGATTTGGGTTAGAATCACCTGGATATTTAACAAACCTCCAAAACACCACGTGCCATCTATTCCATTCCGTGAACAGAAAACAAATGCTGTTTAATTCATATCGCCTGAATACACCGGATTGGACGTTGCTCTTAGTCTGTGTACGCCTGCCTGCCTTTATATATAAGACGTTACAGAATTTCCAAAAATCAGTGCACAAATAGTGATTGAGAAAATGCTGAGAATCTTTTTTAATAAAATAAATCATAGAGTGCATAGGCTGTAATTACAATGTTTACATGCCAGAACTAAGAGGGATCTTTGTTTTGTGTCCCATTTGGCCAGGGATGACGCAGATAGTCCCACGACTGGTTATACGTCTTCTAGTCTAAATGCCAACTCCCAATTCAGGGAGATGAACGGTCAAGGAAGTGCAGCAAGGTGGGAAGAGCAGCAGAAGCTTTTGGCGTTGGAACAGACGTGCGGCGTGTTCCGTGTGGATCTGGGTCAAATGCGTTCCCTACGCTTCTTCTTCAGGTACGGACAAACCATAGTGTGATGGTCATGACAAGGCTGAAGCTCTCCAATCAGGTCGAACATATTGTCTGCTACCTCAAATAATCTCTCGTATATCTTTGTGCTAACCTACTTTAATACTTACTTTTATTATGCAAAATATCTCTCCCGACAGATTCCAAATATGATGCCTTGTTCCCTTATTAATGCATATGTTTCTTTATTCTTAATTTGACCATAGACTCATTAGACTTTCTATAAACATGTAGATTTTTAAATTTTTATTATTATTTAACTATTTTCATTTGACTCATTTTTTTTTAAATGTATTTTTCCACGCCTTTTGTATTGCTGTTGCCTTATCTGTAACGATGACTGGATAAAACATTTTGTTTCTTTGGCAGTGACGATGCCGGCACCAGTGGACAGTTGGTGGTAGCCAGCAGAGAGAGTCAATATAAAGTCTTCCATTTCCACCATGGTGGCTTGGGGAAGCTCTCGGAGGTGTTCCAGAAGTGGAAGTACTGCCGAGAGACACAACTCAAGGAGCAGGTGAGAGAGATTCGACATTTAGAGAGTGTCCTAATGGAGTGAGTGGGCAGGGGTTTTTGGATAAGTGAAACAATTAAGGATATTTGGAAAATTAGAGGGAGAAAGGGATAGAGGCCGACGGGAGGATGAGAGCAAGGAGAAGAAGTAGATGAAGGTTGGTCAATGATGGCCGTGCTTGATTCTACATTTACTATTTATCATAAATTCCACAATGTGTTGCCAGCTTTAAAGGAACACGCCAATGGAATTTTTATTGAATTAATGTTTTTAGTAGATATACCACTGATGAAAACATGCATGCATTTTATAATCTTTTTTTTTTTTTCTTCATTGGGTGTATACCTAAAAGCACATTGCAAAAGTTGCAGATCTTTTGTCTGGAGCCTTTGCAAGCCCTTACCGTTAAACACTGCCCAGAATTTCTGTTGCTGTCCAATCACTGACTTCCCAGTGAGAAGTCTTTACAAGGCAGGTGCTCTCATTGCTGTCGCTTGGGTTGAGCTTCACTGAGCTAACCAAACCAGGAAGTAATAGGACATGTCTGATTGACAGCCAGGGGGGTGTAACCACGTTCATTTATAAAATTGACAATTTCTATTGAAATCTAAGTTTTTTGTAAAATGGCGGGTGAAAGAGGATGCACTCTTCACAAATAAAACAACTCTAAGCTAAACTGTTCTGAGTCCTAGTTCACAGTTGATTATATTATTTCTGTTGTCCGTTCTATGTGATAAAGTCTGTAGAAGGAGTTAAAGAGCTTTGGCACAGATTGATCTGTAATGTCTGCTGACAAATCAAGAATATTTTAGACGTTTCTTATTGTGTCACTTGTTTTGTACGTTTTTTTGTTTGTTTGGTTTTTCTTATCCACCCTCCACCACTAATTGTTATAGAGCTTTGTCCCACAACATAAAAAGTTGTGTGGCCGTAAAAAGTCCATTGGAGGAAGGAGGGAAGTGTGGATACTGTTAATGAGAAGCTGCATCTCGTTTAGGAATTGAAGCGTGCTCACACACTTTGACATTTGACAGCCTCCTGCGAGTCTCAGCCAGAATAGCAGCGTTCGGTCCCTGCTCCTCAGGGGGGTGATGATGGCAGTGAATGACTTGCCTGAAGCACACACAGCCTGGTGGCTGCCACGTAATGCATCCTGTCTGCTCTCCCTTTAACATGGCCCATTAGCCGTACACAGCCACGTAAGATCTAATCCTGTGTGTGCCAGCCTGAGGGCAGGGCACGGCTTCTGGGCGAGTGAGGAGTCTGCTGCGCCAACAAATAAGGAAGGGTTAATTAACTGTAATTAACAGGAATAATGTCCTTTATCCCAGGGGAAGGTTGGATGTGCAGACAAATTGACTTTAGTGATTCAGTTCCCACAGGGACAGATTGACATGCTGCATTATACATTGAGACTGAGTATGACCTGTTTTATGGTTCGAGAAAACATCATATAATAATACAAGGAGCAGACCGGGACAGCTGATTAATAAACACTCCAATCTTTAAATAAACAATCTCCCTGTATTATATCATGAACAATATATAGATAACATGGAACATGATTAGACGTCTGTAATTAAATGGCACACTGTGCTCTTAGTAGTGTGTATGTTGTATATCAATTAATTGAATTTGGAAATAAATATAATTTTTCTAAATATAAAAAAAAAAGGCAAAGTGGTAATTATACAGACTTACAGCGAATAAATTCCAGTGAGATATCAAATTAGCTGAATTTACACAGATAGTTCAGCTGGGTTTCTGGAAGATGTGTCCAATCTCGTCCAATCTCGTACTGTCTGGAAGATGTGTCCAATCTCGTCCAGAACCATCCTTTGTACCACAAAGAACCCCTCCCACTCTCACATGTGCCCCTTAATCCCAAACTACTCACATTGTCGTCAGATCATGTACGGACCAGTCCATCCACCAGGACTATTATCAACGACAAATAAAGACTTCTAAAGGAAATGTGTGTTGCCTCAGTCCAGGGATGGCTTGGCTTGGCACTGCAGAACTTTGTAAGTCTGGCTGAGCATTATTACTGAGTGTTCTTCACATCTGCAATGTCAAGGTTGATCATCACTGGATTAATGGGACACTCTCTTGTTTTTTATGGGAAATTGCAAATGTAAAATGTATTTTTCTTACTCTCCCTTTCCGTTCCTCATTCAGGTGACAGAGGAGAAGACCTGTCTTCATTTCTCCATCCAGAGGCCCAATCTTCCTTCTTCTGAATCTCACCCAGAGGAGGGTATCTACCGACGTCTGGATGTCACCAGCTGGCTGCAGCACTTCAACGAGGCCGGGCAGGTGGAGGAGGAATACAAACTTCGCAAGGTAAGGCTGGTCAGTCTGTGGTGTAGGACATACCTCGTGAGGTGAGTGGGTTTTAGGGTCGTTTTCACTTCACCTTAGTTCCCAAGTGGCTGGTATTGACCTCCTGGGGTAGTGAGGAGTTTCCAATAATAAGTGTTATCAACCAGCACTACAAGCATGACTCCTTACTCTGTGTGTGCAAAGTGATGCCAGGCCCAAAGTCCTGTTTAGGATTATCTAGAATGGGGGTGGGCAATCTTCGGATGTTATGGAAGATATCTCCCCTGATGCTTTGCCAGCATTATGACTTTAAGAGCATCATGGGAGATGTAGTCTTTAACATCTGAAATGCCAAAGGTTACCTACCACTGTTCTAGATGGTCCAGCAAACTGCATTTGTGAAAACACACCCTAAGTGTCTGGACTGATTCACACCGTATTTTCTTTAACTGCCGGTGCAGACACGGGAAGAGCTGCTGTTTTAAGTTTTCTGGTTTCTAATGATATAATATCATCACATGACATGCTTTTCTCCAAACCACAATCAAGGTGGTTTGATGCTCTCGGAGTATTGCTCGTAGTACCGATACCCTGAGATACTTAGCCTCTATTAACCCTAAATTAACTGCTACCCTGGTATACTCCCACATTGCCATGCTGGCAGACAATATAACACATTCACAAACACAAATATCCAATAAAGCCGTGTGATACTCGCATACACTAACATATAATCGGATCATCACTAGTACACTCACATTCGAAGATACACAATGTAGCAATCTGCCACAGACACACTTGCTACACTGACATTCATATGCACTCTTTTCATTATTTCTAAGATATTTTCAGTCTTTGTTACTCAGACTTACTAATGTATGTGTAGACAGGGCTACTGCTCAAATTATACCTTCACATACCGCCAGCGACACGGATTACCACAAATATGCACACAGTCACTGTGGTACACCACACATGCGCACACCCCTATACTTTATAGGCTTGTTGGGAGAGATATTTGCTGGCCAGCACTTGTACACTCAGACTTCTGGTTACACGCACTGGAGTCATGATATGTTAAAAGACCCGCATGACTCGCGTTTACACCATATAAATAAACAGAATTTCAAACCAGGAAAAGATTAATTTGAATGCTCACTGTTGCACACACAGATACTTAATCCTATGGAAAATGAATTGATTGCTAGCTCTTCAGATTAGATTTATGAAATGCTTTGATGCCTATAAAGCTTCAGACCCTTATTTGGGAAGCCAAGGTACTCACAGGACGCAAGGAAACCATGTTTGTGAATGAAATGTGAAATAGTGGCTCATCCAGTGCATCATGGGAAATGTAGTCATCAGGCATCTGAAATTGTAAGCCGCTAGTCTGCGTTGCATCTCCTGCTATATGGTCCCTGAGTGATGTCATACAACGTGCAGCCAATAGGAATCCCCAGATCACAGACCTATTCACAGATAGCCAGAATTAGCAGAATAGGGGAACCTGTTCTAATTTGGTGATGTCCAACCGCAATCTGGCACAATGGATAGCTATCCCAGAGGCAGGATTGATAATCAGATTTGAAAAGAACTACAATTCTTGCTGTTTTGTTTCTTTTTTTGACTATTCTTATCCATCTATTACAGGGGTGTCAAAACAGAAGACCCCCTCCTTCTAACTCTCGTAGAAATAGAACTACTATGACTCTTGGCCCATCTTAATGCTGTCTGAATGGCATTGGATTGATAGCTGAGTGTCTACTGTATGGTGGTCCCTGACCTAGTAGGATTCTTGTCAATGGGCCTGTTTGTCTATTCCTTGTAACACTGATCTGTTTTGTCTCTGTTCATTTCACAGGCCATATTCTTTGGAGGCATCGATCCATCACTGCGAGGTGAGGTGTGGCCCTTCCTCTTGGGGTACTACAATTGGGAGACCACGTCAGAGGAGAGGGAATCACTGCGGGTACACCGGAGGGAGGAATACGCTCAAATCCAGAAAAAGAGGTGACTAATAGGATCTTAGTGTTCCCAAGATACGTGTCCTCTATAGATGGACTAGAATAAGGGTGGCCAATCTGTGCTTCCCTTGGAATTCACTTTGAATTTCCGACAAGTCTCACTTTAGTTAATACATTTTTTTTTGTTGCTGTTAAGGAACATTGTTTTTCTGCTTGCTTAGGAGTCCATGTCAGATATTTCTCACAACTGGGCCTAGTGTAACTCAGCACTGATCTAGCATTGGTGAACAACCTTCAAATCATACTCTACAGATTTGTGTCATCACACATAGCATCATTTCTTCCCATTCTCCCCTACCCCCTCGGTACTTAGCACCTTAACAGAACCTTTCTGTCCTTTTCGTTCTGTAATGGCGTCATTTTCACAATCCGGTTATTCTCTATAGGATCTCACTATGCATTTTTCTTCACCTCTACAGAGTTTCCATGAGCCCGGATTCCCAGAAGAATTTCTGGAGGAATGTGCAGTTCACTGTGGATAAAGATGTGGTGAGAACAGACCGTAGCAACCAGTTCTTCAGAGGGGAGGACAATCCCAATGTAGAAGCCATGAGGTGAGGCTGCAGTGAAAGGATATTTTCTGTTTGTATGTAGGTGATCAGGAGATGAGGATCCATTGGGAACTCCAGTTTTTGTTTCTCAGATCTGTTCTCTCTCATGTGGTTAAACTGCAAGGTGCAAGAACTTTACTGCTAGGGACTCTATGAAATCTTCTGGAAATCGCGTTTGACCGTTCTCACTGGGTTGTGTCAGAAAGTTATCGTTGTGTATCTTGAACTACGTTCATTCTTGGTGTCTTATTAAGGGAATGAATGTGATGTCTAGAATATAAACAATTCTATTGTGGTGCCAACGAGATGCTTCTGGACAATTCCTTTCCCTCTGGTTGTCTCAGACACCGTAGCAGTTTCCTGAAAATTTATGCTGAATGTATTTTAGAATTTCGGCTAAGTTCTCTATAAAGGGAGTGTCTGGGAATATCCTGTGGTGGAGTCGCCCAGGGTATTTTCGTGATGTTCTTATAAAACAAACATTTAATTGCTGACTTATTAGGAATGTCCTGCTTAGTTATCTTTGAGAACCATCTTCTACACCTTATTTATCATTAAGAAAACAGGTCTGGAAAGGATAAGAAAAGTGGCAGTTTCTGGTTGATGGTTACTAAACAGAAAAAGTCCCAGATACACATATCATTTATTCCTGTCCTCGTGTTTCAGTATTTGTTAATACACCGATATTTTAACTTTAGATTAGCATTCCTTCACTGAAGGTATAGCTGTCCTCGTGTAGCGTCCGGTGGTTGGGTTCCTTCGAGGACACATAAAGCATTATTCGCTAAAGCGAGAATTCAAAGTGAATTTCAAATTTAAGGTGAAAACAGCTTAACTGGAAAAATTATGTAAGACGGCTGTTTCATGCGCTCGCCTAATTTAGCCGTAAATTCGAAATTCAAGAGTACTAACTTCAATGATTCAATGAAGGACCCTGATAGGTGGGAATTTGGTTTTCAAGATTAACCCTTCCTGTGAACTGATAAATGTGAAATAATCTTTACTGATAACATTATAATAAGATCAAAAAAACAAGAAATATATATATATATATATATAGAGCGGTTATGTAATATAATATGATAACGTCAACACAAATATCTTGATGGAAATATCTACATGTTACACGACATACAAAAGTCAGGATATAAATGGATGTTATTGTAAGGGTCACATTTTTCCATTTAAATTCTTATGTTGAATTACACTACTATATACATATATATATATTGCACTTTTTCTATTGTTTTCTACAAGCTGAGTTTATTTTTTTATTTTTATGCTCATATGAAGTGAACAAGCTTATAGTTGTGACATATAACAGTTGCTACAAACACAAATCATTTTGCTTTTTATATATACTACTTACAGGATAGGGCGTTGGTTAATTTTTTTACCCTTTGAATCAAGTACAGCGTACCCGTCTCTCCCTCCCTGTCATATACTTTATATTTGTATGTTTGTATCTGCTAAGGTCTTTGGTAAATATCCTTTGATCTTTATTCTGATCAAAGGTATGTCCTCTCCCCCTCTCTCCACGCGCACACTCCCCCCAACAGATTTAGCTTGCAGTAGGGGTCAGATTAATGATTTACTTATACTTAAAGATTATGAGATTATAATTTTAAATTATTGATGGGTCGGGGGGAGGGACATCTGTGTCCTATTGTTGGACATGAAATGAATAATGTAACATGGTGATTGAGGGCAATTAGAGTACTGTTCAATTAACCTTTCCGATTTCTTTACCTACTTTTATACCTGTATTCCTGTGTCAAAGTACGTAAAGGACTTTCTTAACTTCGTAACAGCAGGATAGGAGGATTCCCTGCATCCATTATTTGTAATAAATACATGGAAGCCAGTCTGTGAATTCCACATATTTAATGCCCTTCCTATGAAACGATTAAAACTCCATTCTTTTGCCAATGTTCCAGTTTCATTTGTTTAAGTCTCAGAGACTGTCCTTATAATTTCCATAGTGTCTTGCAGGATTCTAGTCTAATGAAGTCCAACTGTGATGGTGTTTCCTAGTGTCTGAATTATTCAATCTCCTTTTTCTTGTTTCTTTTGTAATTTTTTTTAAATTCATCAGTTTTATGAGGGTTCCACTCTTAGATAATCAGTTGTCGGCTCCTTTGGTGATACCCACCTGATAAGCGTATCAATTAAACAGTTAATAGCTCCTGACTGATTCCTCTTCTGCAACTGTCATTAGTCTAATACTATCCTTACCTTTTTGTGTCATTTTACCCCACTCCCTCTAGCATGTAAGCTCATTGAGCAGGGTCCTCAACCCCTCTGTTCCTGTGTGTCCAACTTGTCTGGTTACAACTACATGTCTGTTCGTCCACCCATTGTAAAGCACTGCAGAATTTGATGGCGCTCTATAAATATCATAATAATAATAATAATAAGTTTCTCTGGTGGATGATTGCGTCTTTCTGTTCGACCCCAGGAGAATCTTACTGAATTACGCAGTGCACAGCCCAGGAGTCGGGTACTCGCAGGGAATGTCTGATCTGGTGGCCCCGCTGTTGGCAGAGATCCTGGATGAATCGGACACATTTTGGTGTTTTGTCGGCCTGATGCAGAACACCATATTTAACAGCTCGCCTTGTGACGAGGACATGGAGAAGCAGTTGGTAAGTTGTTTCTTCATCTTTCATTTGATTCTCTCCTTTTTCTGATCATTTAAAGAGGAAAAAAAAAAGGGTGTTCGCTTCTCGATTGTGTTTTTGACAGCAGAATAGTCTTCCGGTAATATATGCAGATAACGTGACATCATCTCCAATTAGGTAACTTGCATACAGAAGACTACGGTCACACTGGATAACGTACTGCTTTATTATTTATTTAAAGTGTTTTGTAAGTCGATTCATTTTAGTGCCCTGTTATTTCAGATGTACCTCCGAGAGCTTCTGCGTCTCGTGCACCCACGTTTCCACCAACACCTGCAGGCGTTGGGTGAAGATGGGCTACAGATGTTGTTTTGTCACCGCTGGATCCTGCTTTGCTTTAAAAGAGAATTTCCGGATTCGGAAGCACTAAGGATGTGGGAGGCTTGCTGGGCTCACTACCAGGTACCAAGCTGGGTTCTCCTATCGCCTAAAAGAAAGCTCATGTCAATCAACAGACATTCAAAATATGTTACATTCACATTCTGTATATTACTCTTGGTCAGAGAATGTCTCATATCCAACAGTATGTAACAGCTCATACTGCTTTTTCCTTTCATCGTGCTGGAGTTTGAATCTTTAGAAAAATACATGCACGTCTTTAAAATAAAAAAAATGTAAGTTGTATTTTCACTTTGAAATTGATGAGATTAGAAATAGCACTACAGATGTGAAATATCTTGGGTGTGTTGTAGTAATCTTGTTTTACATCAGCAAGCAAAATGTATTTATTTCCCACCCTTACTAACAAATAATATTAATGCGTATATTCATATAAGAAATTATAAATATAAAAACAATTAAAATAGTTGAAAATGCCAGAAAAAGCAATCAAAGATTTGATATTATCATAATTACCTGAAACCATGTGTTTCACATAAACAGAAACATAATGCCATTGTAATATAGAATAAAAATGATAAAAGTAAGTAAACTTTTCAAAACTAGTTTATTACAATAAAAAATGTATTTTAATTTTGTAATATTTTGATACTTTATTTTCATACATTGGCATCTTTTTTGATATTTTAAAAGCACATTTAAAAATATTGGATCGTGTGAATAGCTTATCCAACAATATGAAATTGAGGCCACGGTCGACCGGGTGCGGGATGGGTTTTAATCCGCTATCATAGCCTATATATTGGTGACGGTTTGAATTTAGCTTCTTTGGTTCCTGACACCTTTTCTGTCCTCCCTCTAGACGGACTATTTCCACCTGTTTCTGTGCGTTGCCATTATTGTTCTTTACGGAGATGATGTCATCGAACAGCAGTTGCCTATCGATCAGATGTTATTGCATTTTAGTAACTTGGCAATGCACATGAATGGCGAGCTGGTGCTAAGAAAGGTATATTTCTCTCTTGCTTTTCATACATTCATGGGGTGCCGGCATTTATATGTCTGCTCTAAATCATTCAGGTGGCATATATTTTTTACATTTTGCGTATATTAAAAAAAAAAAAAGGTACTATTAAAATGTTACTTCTTTAGGATGACAAAGTTTGCACATATCAGAAAGTTAATGTGCATACTGTATGGAGTATATTTACTGTACAGCAAATTTTAGTGAACTGAATACAGAACTGCAATATTTAGGCAAAAAAAGCAATATTTCTGTTCAGTTAATAAACTCCTGTGAGATGGTGTGAATACATTCCGATATGATACAGAACTGAATTCTAAATGGTAAAATGTTTAATTTTACTAAATATCTAAGCGTATAAGAGAAAGGCATCGTGCGCTTCACTTTATGGTCCAGACCCTTTTGTCATTTGAAAGGATTAAGGCTGTTTAAACCCACATTTATTGAAAGAAATATGAGCCAATCGGTATTGAAGTGATTGTTCCACATTCATATAAAAAGAATGGAATATTTTCCCACATTTATTTGTGGTCTTTGTCAGTTCCTCTCTCTCTTTGACCATTGAGGGATTTATTTACAAACTATGTATCGTGGTCAGATGGACAAATAACAAACTGAATCGCATACATTAAAAATTTGGGGAATGAGTCCCCTACCCAGGGAGTTTTTTATTTTTTAGAAAGCACTATTGCCGTGTATTTCTGTTGCTGTAATGGGGGTGGGGTGCCCAGTGCTCATGCTATGCCAGGTTTTCTGACTGGCACGGTTGCAGATTGGAGTGACACGTGTGGGCAGCAATGCCCTTTTGTGGCCTGGGCAAATATAAGATTTGGCCATACACTTTTTATCCTGCTTTAATAACTCCAAATAATGAAAGGTATGCAATCAATCCTAAACTGTGCAACTTTGAAATAATCGTTTTTAGTGTCTTCCCACACTTTCTATCTTGGTTTCAGCCAGTTCTAGTGTTGCTAATTCTTGTTCTGCTTCATTACAGGCTCGGAGCTTGCTGTACCAGTTCCGTCTGCTACCCAAAATACCCTGCAGCCTGCACGATCTGTGTAAGTTGTGTGGTTCGGGCATGTGGGACAGCGGCTACATCCCCCCCGTGGAGTGCACAGGTCAGCATCCAGAGTCTGAGAGCTGCCTTTACGGAGGAATCGTGGAGGAACCGTCACCAAAACCCCTAAAGAACAGCAAGAGAGGCCATAAGCCATTGGATGTATTTAATTTTAGAAAATAGGAAGAATCTACCAGAGAAATAAAAACATTCTGGGTGAGCTCACAAACATCCAGAATGGTGAGACACAGATGTCGGTGGCTGTGGACCTCTTTGTGACTGTTTTGTAGCAATTAGGCAACAGCCAGAAAATACAGTATATGTTTTAACCAAAGCAATGTGAATGCTGATCAGAGTGACGTCCAAGTCCTTCTTATCGCAGAGATATAACTCCAGCAGTTTGGTGTTTTGCTCCTTGTCTGATCTTTCTCAGATTTGGTAACGATAGGCCTAGGGATGATAAGGCAATCTTTCACAGACCGAGAGCTTAACTGAAAGACTGAATTCTTAATTCTCCCCAACTAGCTCTGGTCTGTAATAAAGCAACGCAAGGGGTTTAACTATCAATGACATTGTAAGATGGGAGACCTCTGAAACACCCCCTAACTCTAAACAGTGTCGTCACATGGTAAAATATTTCTGATGGTTTCTCGCTATTTAGCTATCAGCCCTGTTCAGCTGCTACCACAGGCTTATCTTGTCACCATCCTCTTCTGACCATCGTTTTAAATGATTTGGGGATAAGGGACAGCATGGCCGTGGGATTCAGACAGTCGGGGTTTGTATAATATGAAGACGAGGTAATAAGATGGCAGGAAGCACATGTCGTTTCAAAACAGAAACTTATTTTCTGAAAGGACTAATCCTGACTGTGATCTCAAATACATTAAAAAGTCAACGCCGATCATTTCAAATGTTACAAATAATTTGTAGCGATTTACCAGCGAAGCACAATCCCCCTCCTTAACCATCCCTCACCCCTTCTTCTTTTGCAGGAGAATTAAGTAATAATACTTGAAGTCACTTGGGCTGGGCTTTCACCAAACACATTCTAGTAAAATAATTTTGCCAATTAGCACGCTGCTTTATTTGGTTTCTTAACCAACTATCTTGAACGTAATCCAAAGGAATTCTCTCTCTTTTTTTTTTTTTTCTGCTTTTGAGAACTATGGCTCCAGCCCCTTGCCCGGCCTGTTGTTTGACACCCCAAGGCGTTCACTGTAGAGCTATATTTCTCAAACCACTAATAGTAACAAGTTTATCTTTCTGCCATGTCTCCCTAATGCAATATTTATTCTCCTTCAAGCATCGCTAGAGCGTCCAGATGCCATAAATACGTGCATTAAAGTTTGTATTAAAGTAACCCCGGGGTACCTGTGCCACAGATTAAGACACTCTGCTGTAGAACGTTCTCCAATTTCGGCAGATCCACATACCTTGCTTCTGTTTCGAGAGAATTTAACTTTGAGATTTATATGAAGGAACATCCCTGTGGATTTAGCACTACTTTCTTAAAATACATTATTAGAATAATGTATTAATATGCATTTATTAAATAAATATATAAAAATTACCACTGAATGCCTCTCTTTTGCCCGTTTTCCCCCCCGCTTAATTTATATAGCTAGTCCTAACTCCAGTTCAACCAGGAAGTGGTTAAGATGTCTGAGCCAATTCTATAATCTCCTAGTTAAAGTTATAAAAGAATCTCTGTTCCACTTCTTCCTCGTGTAATGTGACATATGCAATACAGTCTGATAGCTGGTCATTCACAAGAACACGAGCTAATTGTGTCAATACTCGTATATTCGTCAATCTCCTGTTCATGTCTAGGAGACCAGCTACGTTGTGGGCGTTCAGCCTCATTTCACATTTTTGAAAAATGTTGTTTTGCAGGGATATTCACTCAAGTTTTAATTTTCAAATTTTAGGTTAAAATATTTGAACTGAAAACATAACCAACGTGAGTTTTCACAGTTCAGCTATTGGCGCCTAATATTTTCAATTTGCTTTTTATTCTCAACAATTTATACTTTGGTGAATTACCTTTTTTACGTTTTACGTTTTAGGAAGATTAAAGCAAGAAAAGGGGGAGAAACAAAAATAAACCACAAATATTTCCGCCTCTCTTTACACAATTACTGACATTTGGAAGTCTTGTACTCATTCTAAGATTGTCTGCATTTTGCATGTCATTAATGCACCGATTAATTTTCTGGCTAATTAGCACATTATGCAAAACGTGATTTTCTTTGCAGGAAGATGGCTGTGCGATTTAAAGGGAAGCTATCAGCGAAAATCTCCTATTTTGGTTTATCTGGCTGGCTCCCGTCAATACCGGATATTACACATCAAGGTGCGCTTTAGTCAGAGAAGCTGCTCATAATGCGAATTCTTTTTATAGCGGTCACAATGAGCTGCAAAGTGTCCTATATTATCATTATCACCGAGTAACATTCTCCAAATCTTCTAGCTGAGCCCTTTACACCTAAGATGTGCAGTTATTTGTCAGTTCACACTAAGTCTCTGATTAGTAAATAAACCCCTATCCATAAATTTAAATAATATTAGCAGGAATCTGTACATAGATGACTGTATTGTAACATAAGACACGCTGGGGCTTATTCACTAAACATTGAACAATTCTCCGCTTTACTCACAGATTGTGCGTTTGGGATTTAATAAACAAACCGCTGTGTTAAAGCAAGCCAGAGATCATTTAAAGCACGGATTCCAACTCCCATTGGCTTTCCACAGTATGATCGCTCCGCTTAACACTGAAATCGCAATATGTCACGCATCGTATAGGCACAATGTACACACTCCCGAGCATTCACATCTCCACTACCAAGATCAACTTCATTACACTAGATGTTCAGTAACCTGATTTATACAATGTATAAACAATTTTTGTCTGCTCTTTTTCTAATCAATTTATCAAAATAAATTAAATGACTTTTTCTTACGTGACTTACTGAGCAATATTTTATTACACCTGCTTGGAGCTCTATTGCAATATGTCATTTCGTGTTGTTACTTAGAATAGGATTTACGTGATTTCTTGGTAAACTCACCACCAATTCTCTGTTTGAATTCAGGCTAATTTATTTATTTTTAATGTTGTCATTTTATTTAATGTCCAGAGAGGGCGCCTGTGATAGTGCTGCTGCTAAATCTTTCTCTTTGCTGTGTTACTCCCATTATATTTGACTAAGAAATGGTTAAAAGCAGCCCCAACAAAATACATTAAAATTTTAGGCCAAAATATTCAAACTGAGAACAGAGCGGATTTGGAGAAATTTGTGATTTTGTCTATGGCTTAAAATTTGAAATTCACATGAATGTATGCAGGTAAATACAGGGGGGCTACGGGACCACTGGTCAGTAAATGTATGCCGGTAAATACAGGGGAGCTGCGGGATCTCTGGTCAGTAAATGTGTGCAGGTAAATACAGGGGGGCTGCGGGATCACTGGTCAGTAAATGTATGCAGGTAAATACAGGGGGGCTGCGGGATTTCTGGTCAGTAAATTTATGCCGGTAAATACAGGGGAGCTGCAGGATCTCTGGTCAGTAAATGTATGCAGGTAAATACAGGGGGGCTGCGGGACCACTGGTCAGTAAATGTATGCAGGTAAATACAGGGGGGCTGCGGGACCACTGGTCAGTAAATGTATGCCGGTAAATACAGGGGAGTTGCGGGACCACTGGTCAGTAAATGTATGTAGGTTAATACAGGGGGGCTGCAGGATCACTGGCCAGTAAATGTGTGCAGGTTAATACAGGGGAGCTGCGGGACCACTTGTCAGTAAATGTATGCAGGTTAATACAGGGGGGCTGCGGGACCACTGGTCAGTAAATGGATGCAGGTAAATACAGGGGATCACTATTGATAAATGTGTGCAGAGTTATTTCAGGGCACTGTGGATCACTGGTCAGTATTAAGTACAAGTTAATACAGAAGAATTGCCTCTTGGACGTATTCACTGGCCAATAGTTTGTACCAGTTAATACTGTACTGGGGTATTTCAGGATCACTGATCAGTAAATGTGTGCGATTTAATACAGGGGCTCTTGAGGATCACTGGTCAGTAATGCTGGGTTAACCTGGGGAGACTCTTGAGATCACTGGCCAGTAAATGTGAACTTGGGTTAATACAGAGCAATGGGATCGCCCAGTAAGTTTCTTGAAGTTAATACAGAGGGCGCTGGGGATCACTGGCCAGTAAATGTGTGCAAGAAGGATTAGCCACAGAGACTCTTGAAGTCACTGGAGGTCAGTAAATGTGTGCAGATTAATACAGGGTGGCTGCAGGATCACTGGTCAGTAAATGTATGCAGGTTAATACAGGGTGGCTGCGGGACCACTGGTCAGTAAATGTGTGCAGATTAATACAGGGGGGCTGCGGGACCACTGGTCAGTAAATGTATGCAGGTTAATACAGGGTGGCTGCGGGACCACTGGTCAGTAAATGTATGCAGGTTAATACAGGGGGGCTGCGGGACCACTGGTCAGTAAATGTGTGCAGATTAATACAGGGTGGCTGCAGGATCACTGGTCAGTAAATGTATGCAGGTTAATACAGGGTGGCTGCGGGACCACTGGTCAGTAAATGTGTGCAGATTAATACAGGGGGGCTGCGGGACCACTGGTCAGTAAATGTATGCAGGTTAATACAAGAGACTCTTGGGACCATAGGAGGGTCGTAAATGTATACGAGTTAATACAGGGTGGCTCTTGGGACCACTGGTCGGCCTGTGTGCAAAGGATGATACAGGGGCTGTAGGGACCACTGGTCAGTAAATGTATGCAAGTTAATACAGGGTGGCTGCGGGATCACTGGTCAGTAAATGTGTGCAGGTTAATACAGGGGGGCTGCGGGATCACTGGCCAGTAATTGTATGCAGATTAATACAGGGGGGCTGCGGGACCACTGGTCAGTAAATGTATGCAGGTAAATACAGGGGGGCTGCGGGACCACTGGTCAGTAAATGTGTGCAAGTTAATACAGGGGGGCTGCGGGATCACTGGTCAGTAAATGTGTGCAGGTTAATACAGGGGGGCTGCGGGACCACTGGTCAGTAAGAAATGTGTACGAGTTACAGCCACAGGGGAACAACGAGGACCACTGGTCCCGTAAATGTATGCAGGTTAATACCACTGGGGTGAAGCTCTTGGGACTG